TTCAAACATTAAAGGCATATACTACATGGCATGGCTGTCAGTGTTCTTCAAACATCTCTGAGTTAGATAAAAATAAGTTTCACAACCCATTTATTAGAGTGGTCCTCATAGCACACATCAGACTATAATAAGGACACTTCAGGGGCCTGCATGTCATGGTCAATGTTCTGCCTGCAGTAGGTTTGCAGCATTTGAAAAGTAAGAACACCCTTTGTTGTTAAGCTCCTCATCGATAGATTGATTGATTGATAGATAGATACATGCATACATACATACATACATACATACATACATACACACATATATACATGCATAGCAGTTGGATATGTGGGTGGGCAAGTGAATGAAAATGTAACAGTCATGAGTACCTATGTGAATATGCAGAAGCACCCGGCACCTAGTGGTACCTAACTTGTATTTGTTTCCCTTTACTTTTCTTTCCTTCTCATCCCTCCTCCAACTGAGTGACGTTCCATGGAGGTTTGGGGGAATGCAGAGCAGAGGGCCTTTGTCATCTGGAGCTCAAACTGAAAGCTCTGAGCCATCCTGGAGTGGGGCGATGAGATGGACTGAAGGGGCTGTTTCACAGCTGCTCCTTCCACTTTCCGTCCACCATCCCAGGTTGCGTGGGGGCTTCTGTAACATTCCTTGATGTTGACACTGCCACACACGTGGATTGCTCCTGTTCACTCCTACGAGGCAGTCACATCCACAGATCAACTTTTTGGTGCTAAAATGGGTAGGAAGTAAAGGACAAAGCTGTCTCTGAGGTGCTGATTAAATTTGACATCCTCATTCCCTGCCCACTTTCGCTGCCTGAATGCAGGCCTTTGTCAGCACATGGACCAGTAGTTCTTAGATTTTAAGATGTCTCAGACACCTGAAATTGTCTAGATCACACATCCCTAGGCTCTATAAGCCAGGGGCCCTACTTTAGCAGGTCTGAGTAGGGCCTACAATATGTATAGTTTTTAACTTTGTAACCTCAAATTATTTTGCTCAGAGATGGTCACAGTGAAGCTGGTGCTCAATAAATGTCTAGGAGCTAGGAAGAGTGACAGGGAACACTGGACATCTGTCCTGGCAGAGTTTCCCACTGGACTTTCAGAGCCTAAGGCTCAGAGTATCCTCCTAGCAGGCCAGGTGGGAGGAGGCAAGCCTTTACAGGCAGGTATGTGGCTTGTATATGGGTGGGCATAGAGGTCTTTCAGGGAGCTCTCCCTGGCCTGGCAGAGGAGAAGGAATGGGTATGGGATCCTGAGCTGAGAGCCTCATGGAGGATGTGGATGGGCCTGCCCTGCTTGGCAACCTGGGATGGACTGGCCCTGGTGTTTTATGACTTCGAGGAGAGGCAGCCCAAGGTTCCTGCAGTAATAACTAGTGGAACATGATGGCTTCCACCCTCCACTGGGTGGGGCCACTGAGGCTCAGTAGTGGAGTCGGGAAAGGGAAGCGATTAGTGGTGAGGAAGGCAAGCGGATCTGCACCAGGAGTTGGCTTGCTCTGATTAGGCCAAAGTCCTATCCAGTTGAGTGTAGTCAGGATAGGAGCTACATGCTTCAACCCAAATCCATTTTTCTAAGTGGCAGAGGAGAAAAGACAGCTCTGCCCATGAAGGAAAAACAGGCTTTTGTAGTCATCACCTAGTACCTGCTCATCCCCCACTGGGGTGCTTTTTATTTTTGTTTTTTCTGCTCATCTGGTCTGCATCTTTGGACAGTGTTGGTGTTAGAGATCTCAAATGCCTGGATCCACACATTACCTCTGTTAGGGCTGCTGTTAACACTCTCAATTTCTATGTGGCAGTATTTTTACTATTATTTTGAAGAGTGGATAGTCCTCTCTCCCAAACCCAGTCTGATGTCCCCAGGGCCTGTTACCACAGAATTATGGCACAGTTTTGGTGGGTTCTGCTAACTTCATTCTCAATAACTTCCCTGTCCTGGCATTTTTTCCTCTCTAGACCAAAACCTTAAGAGTTCTCTCCTAAGTGGCCACAGTAAAATATTAACTAGTTAAATTGAGATGTGGGGGGAAATACTAATTTTTGCATTACCTTAATTCACATTTTTAAAAGGGCATTTGGCTGGGCATGGTGGTGCACACCTTTAGTCCCAGCACTCGGGAGGCAGAGGCAGGTGGATCTTTGTGAGTTTGAGGCCAGCCTGGTCTACATAGTGAGTTCCAGGACAGCTGGGGCTACAGGGAGACCCTGTCTCAAAAAGACAGAAAAAAAAAAAGAAAAGAAAAAGGGCATTTGAAGACAAAAAGAATCTTTAATTCTCTATGAATTGGAGCTCTACTGTTGGAACAGGTTGTGGATTTTTTGACTTAGCTTGGAAGCTCCACTCTGTCCTCCAGAAGCTGGGGGAGGCGGGGGGTTGGTCCTTTTCCACCTGTGGTCATGGCCATGGTGCTACATCATTCTGGGAAGTGCAACACTAGGTCATTTCACCACCGAGCAAACATCACAGAGCATGTTTATACCAGCAGCGGCACTTGCGGCGTTGCAGGAGATAGGCTCCGCTGGGACAGCACAGGAGGAGATTGGCTCTGTTGGCTCTGCTGGGACCACTGTGGCACACGCAGCCTCCGGTTGGCTGCAGCATCCTTGTGCTGAGTGTGACTGCACCTGTGAGATCTGCTGCTTCAGAACTTTCCACATCCCTAAACCTAATGATTCATTTTGCTCTCTTTTCTATTTTTGTTTCCTAGGAACGAGTGGAATATCTCTTTCTCATAATTTTTACCGTGGAAGCATTTTTAAAAGTAATTGCCTATGGACTTCTCTTTCACCCCAACGCTTACCTCCGCAATGGTTGGAATTTACTAGATTTTATAATTGTGGTTGTAGGGTAAGTGCGGCCATCTCTTTCTTTCCTCCCCTACTCACCCAGGCCCTTTTCCCTCTGCATTCCTACCTCTGATGGATCTAATTGAACTTGCCTTCAGACACAATGAAAAGATCTGTTAAAAAATCATTTTGAATTCAGACTTTCTCCCAAGGGAGAAATTATTACCCAAGAGCACCCCTTACCACCACTCCCACATGTCAGAGTGTGTGTGTATATGATGCACATGCACACACAGACATATGTGCGTGTGTGTGTGTGTGCGCGTGTGTGTACACAGAGAAGTACATATATGTGTGTACTGCAAACCAGCATTCTGTTTGCAGCTCTTTAAGGACTTTTATCCCCTCTTCAACCATATCTAACCTAGCAATTCCCACCCACTTATGTGCTATATCCCTGAGCAGTTAGTCAGCCTTCTGGGAGCAGGCAGTCTACAGATTTGGGGCATGTTGGGGACATACACTCTGCTGCCAGACTAGTCTCCAGAATACTCATGCAAACTGTCCCAAACCTATCCTCACCTCCACATTGGGCCTTGTGCTGTGGCTCTAGAAAACCAGATTGCTCTAAGTCATTGGGTAAAGAGAAAACAGGGAGGCCTGAAAGGCTGAGGGGATGATAACCAAACCAAGACTAGAGACCCATTCCCCAAACATACTGCTCTGCATTAGAGTGCTGGGAATCTTAAATAAGAATAAGAATAAGAGTGTTCAGCCATAAATGGGACATGGGTATGAACCCCTCCATGACTAAGCTCAGGGAACATCTTGGAAGAGGAGGCAGAAAGAATGTTAGAGTGAGAGGTTGGGGAGAAGTGCTATGAAATGCTGTCATGTGAATGACACCCATAAACATAGCAGTCACACCCATAAACTCACAGCAGATGTGGTTACCTGATCAAGATCTACACAAGATCAAACTGGCCAAAATCTTGGCGTAGATGGGGTTGATGATCTCCAGGTCCACCCCTGACTGAAGAACTATTAGCAATTGACAGCCGCTGGGACAGAATCATTGACTTTTGAGGTTGTGGCCACTGGTAGGTTTTCCATGCCTCAGTGGATAGTCCCGCACCCATGCACCTATGGACAACACTAACGACGTTTACTGGGTTATTTTTGAAAAAAAAGAGAGACAGAGTTGGAAGGGGAACGTGTTAGGGAGAACATGGGGGATTAAAGGGGGAAATGGGGATAGATATGATCATATTGCATCATATACATGTATGAAATTCTCAAAAATAAAGAAAAAATTTAAAAATACAGAGCCTAATAAAAGCCTTCATAAATTTTAAGTAAAATTTTAAAGCAATGATCTTTTTAATCAAGAAGTTAGTAATGTCCCCAAAAGAGTCTCCATAAAATATTTGTTCCTAACAGGCCTACATATGCTAAGTGAAGCCTAATGCATTCAGATAAAGTGAATGAAATCTCAGTGACTTAGGTTTTGCAAAAGGGGTTACTTTTATAGCAGCTTTCACCCCAACCACAACCCCACTCCTCTGAGCTGGCTCGGTACCACTACCAGTCTGGCAGTCACCGTGGCGGCCACACTGACTCTTACTTTTCCCGAGTCAAGTGCAGGATGTTGGGAGGCTTTTATGCCAGGAGTCTTCCATGCTACCCTGGTGGAGACCTAGGCCCCCTGTGGGCTCCTCCAGAGCACCCACTGTTCATTATCTTGGGGAACACCCCATGTTTACTGCAAGAAATAACACAGGAGCACAGAGGGCCATCACAAGTGATTTCCTTGTCTCTGGCCATCTGAACAGCTCCTGAGGTTGGAGTCTCTCCTGTCTTGTCTCAGGTGCCCTGGCCAGTGAATGCTGCACTTTGGTCACATGATCATTATGTATGTTCAAGAGACATGAGGAACACTAAGGCCATTAGTTGTTAGCCAGGTCCAGATCTGGTTGAGACTGGGGAAGGGTGCGGTTCTATGAGGGGTTTCACTACTTCCACTCCTGCCAAATAAACAGTCCAGAATGAGCTCAGTAAACCTTAGTAACTGTCCTGAAGGCAAGTCGTTCCCACCCCCATAAATCCTTTTGAAATTTAGCATCTTTTTCAAGGCCCAGGTCTCCTGGGGGCCTATGACATAAGCAGGAAAGATCCTCAGGAATGTGAGGCAATGCTTCTAGGCCAGTGGAGCCTCTGTGACTTGCAGGGACCTAGGGCTAAGGCAGAGACCGCATTTCTTCTCATACTTATGGAAGGTGTTGCATTTCACCAGATGTGCCTCTGCCCATTCATGTCCTTGACTGAAGCATGGGAAGTAGACAGGATAAGTGAGGGAACTCAAATAGGAGCCTTGGAGAGGGGATTCCACTCTTTCCTGCCCAGGCCATGGGAGGCTGTACATCACTGGCCAACACTTGCCTATCTGCACCTTGTTTGGCCTGAGTGGGGTGTCTAACCTGCAGAGGCTATGAGCCTGAGGTACTTGCTCAGCTTGAGGTCTACTAGGGCATTTGGGGTATCCTTCCTTAATCCACACGAAGTCATATTTAGTAGCTTCTTTATTTTCTCTGGGGGAGGGCTTGGCCCTAGAGGCTCTCCATCCAGTCCTAATTCCACCCTGTCCTACTAACTACAGAAAGATTTCCAAGCCCCAGAGGATGTGGCTCACTGCTTTTCTCCAGCCATGCCTCCTTTTCTGACCCTTTACAATATTAAGTGGATATTCTTTTGTCCCTCTGTGATTTGGGAAATCTTCTTTCCTGTACTACCTCCGAAGCTGCTTCAGGAAAGGTTTCTTGGGGCCTCCTACAAATCGGAAGGGAGTCCGATTTGTACTGAGGAGCATGGACTTACTACCTGCTGTATAGTGTCAGCCATGTGCGCCTTCTTGTGTCTGTCATCCTGGTGGCGTATGACAAGAGGTTTTTTTCCCTCTCAAAGTGGAGGAGTCTCTTTGTTATGATGGGAAAAAGGGGCAACTGAATGAATGGAAGGAACTTTAGAGGCCTCTGTGAGCCACCTGCTCCTGCATAACCCAAGAACTGAGGGCTCTCCTCAGCACATCCTTCTTCAAGAGATTCTAGCCAGTCACAAAGCCTTCTGTTGCATCCATTGCCCTTGTAGTATGGTGGCTCCATCCCTTTGATTATCCAGGCCTGCTGGAGCCTTGTTATCCTCCTCTCTTGAAAACTCTAAAGTCTGACTGTAGAACTACCGATTGCACCCCAGACAAGCACCACATCAGAACCAAGCCCTCAGGAACCAGGGACACAAAGGGTGTTTCACCTTCACAGCCTCCAACCCAGGAGATGTACACTGGTGCTCTGATCCAACACTTTCTACCACATGTTTGAATTTTCTACTCCTCCAAAATTAAAAGGAGACCCTTAATAAAGTACTCCAAAGCTGGAGCAGGGGTTGAAGGAGGAGAAAGTCTTGGATAACTGCTTCTTTCACTGAATGATTATTTTGTGAACATCTTGTCCTCTAGTAAGTATAGTGCTTTCTTCCATGAAACACTGGGAATAAAATCTGGACTGAATTTGGAATGTTATTTGAACAATTTGCAAACTAGTTTGTTTCCTCGGGTTTTAGGGACCTAAATTTCAATGGAAAGAACTTTTCCCTTATGGACCCACTCCCCCGGTCCTGGCACCTTTCATCTGAGACTCGGGGCCTATGAGTCCAACATACCAAACCTCTGATTGTCAAGCCGAGTGAAAGAACTAGGAGGCTCTAGATCTGGTCTGGTCACGGCTGCCGAACTTCTCTTTTTTTCTTTTTGGGTATGTGTGTGCTGGGGTTTAATCCAAGGTTTTGTGAACATTAGGTAAAAATTTTTAATGCTACAGAACCCTTATTTGAAGTCTTTTAAATTTTTTAAAATGTTAATTTACTTTTATGTGTATGAATGTTTTGCCTACATGTAAGTACACCAAATGCATGCATGAAGGCCAGAAGAGGACGGATCCCTTGGAACTAGAGTTTCCGACAGTTATTAGCTACTATGTGGGTGCTAGGAACTGGAACTCAGGTCCTCTGCAAGAGCATCAAGTACTCTTAACTGCTGAGCCATCTCTCTGAGTCCCTGATTTGTTTATTTTTATTTTCTATGTATGAGTATTTTGTCTGTATATATGTAAGTGCACCTGTGCAAGCAGTGCCCACTGAGGCCAGAAGAGGATGTTGAATGCTCTGGAACTAGAGTTAAGGATGGTGTTAACCACCATGTTGGTGCTGGGAACTGAACCCAGGTGCTCTGCAAGAACAACCATTGCTCTTAACCACTGAACCATCTCTCAATGCCCCTCCACTTTTATTTATTTTTATTTTATGTGTATTAGTGCTTTGCCTGCATGTACATAAGCCCTTATTCAACGTCTTACCCCAGGCAGCATGTAATACATGCAAGAGGGAAGATGTTCTGTCACACTGTGGTCAGGATAGCCCTAGCCATTCGGCTCTGGCCCTGACACTGGAGCTGCCCCTGCCCTTGAGGGTTTCCATGGGAGACACTTTGAAAATCTTTTATCCAAACCAGACCTTGTTTCCTGACCCTTCCTGGCTCTGAGGTTCTGCAAAACTAAGCCTTCAGTTGCACCTGGACTCCTGTTCCCTGGGGCATGAGGGACCAGTTCCCTGGGGCATGAGTCATTTAAGGAGGTCAAGTCTATTGCTCAAGATCCAGAGTTGCCTTGGCCATCACTCTGCTGGCTGTGATACAGACACCCATTTCTAATACTGGGATTCTTCCATGATCCCAGGCAAGACTAATTCAGACATGTCACCCAACACACTCTGCTGACAGTGATCCCTAGAGTCCTTTGTAGATGTAAAGGACAGAAGTTGCCTATGCTGGGGTTTTTTCCCCCCTATTTTTTTTGGTTGTCATTAGATGCCTAGAATTCTGGGTCATCTTTTTCATGTGTCTTTCTGTCTAAACCCTCACTTTCTCTCCCTTTCTCCTGAGACCTCCCATTGTACCCCCTGTTCCCCTTAGTCCCACCTACCCAGGAGTCTGCAGATAGTCTGGAAAGGGCC